TCTCTCTCTCTCTCTCTCTCTCTCTCTCTCTCTCTCTCTCTCTCTCTCTCTCTCTCCGGGACTAACCTGTGAAGTTGGCGCCTTGATGCAGGTACCTCGAAGATGGAGCTGGAGCTATGGCGCCACAGGTAAGTCTCACTGGCCTCCGCCAGCCATCTCTCCCAACTGTACTACTACCACCTACTAGCGCCCACCGCTGAAGACTACTGCTATGGCTACTAGCGCCCAACGCTGAAGACTACTGCTAGCGCTAAGCTACTCCTGCAGCGCTCCTCCTGAGTGTTGCGGCCGAATCCTGAAGACTACTCCTGCCTTCTGTCCAACTACCTACCCATGAAGTGCATGGGAACTCCCTATGTACTACTCGGCCTGCCTCCTGACTGCAAGGCGAGGCAGTCCAGAAGGCTGCTCTTGCCAATGCCAAAGGGAGTCAGGGGCTGCCGCTGCAGCTCCTGCTTGAGGCTGTCGTGGGAACAGGCTAAAGATAGCCTATTCCCGAAACCCTGGTTTTGTACCTGAGTGTTAGGGCAGGTCGATCTTATGAGGGCCTGAAAGTGGCCCTCCATTTCAGGCTGAAAAGACTCAGGGTTGAAAAGCCCTGTTTTAGGCTGAAAACGAAATAGGGCCTGCAGGCTCTCGTTTTCAGTTTTCAAGCTGAAAGGACATGGGGCTTGTAAGCCCTTATTTCTAGGATTTTAGGCTGAGAATGCAGGCCCGTGTGGCTACACAATACGCCACACCCCCCCCTCCTTGAAAGACCGAGCTTACCTACGAGGGCGAAGCTGTCTGTATGAGGGAGGGACCACAGTCCGGGTGGGAGGGGCAGGTCGTGAAGGTCCCTTCGCTAACCTTTGTCGCTCGTAGTGAGCGTAGATCAGCGGTGCGGATGCTTTCAAATCTGTTCCTGAAATCCACCGAGTGTCGTCGGGATCGCATGCTTTGAATGTCACTTTGTACTGTCCAGGCTTACTGTCGAGCTTGCGATACGTGATGACGCGGTCAACTTCCTGATGACCATCCATAGAAGGAGGGTCCTGCGATCGTCGGCCCGGGAAGTTGTCGCTCTTAGCTGGTGTATATATGTTGTCAGCTTCGAGGCGTGAAAGACTGGATGGACCATCAGATGCGGGGGAATGTTGATCACAAATGAAGGGCCATCGAGCTCATCGCCCGCAGCTGATGTTACGGGCCATGGTCCAAACCACTTGGGAAGCAGTTTGCGTGAAACATCCTGTTCCAGTGCAAACTCTTTCGCGGAGACCCAAACCAGATCACCGGCGCGGATGGGACATGGCACGCGACGCCTGTTGGCTTGCTGCTGCATGCAGACTTGAGCCTTTTGCATGTTCGCGCGGGCTTGAGCCAGCAATTCCCTGTACTTCCGGACGGAAGCGGGAGAGCAAGTGGAGTCAATGTCGGCTGGTCGTGGGAGGAGAACGACAAACTTTGCAAGAGTCGTAATACCAAGTGACATCAATAATGAGGTCGGGCCATCGGAATTGTTGTCGAAGCCGTGCAATAGTGCGGTTGACTCCGAAATGGTCGGCGAGTCGCGAGTCATGGTACTCCCTGAGAAGGCGACTTCGAAGACGACGGTCTCGTGGGACACACAATAAGTCCTTGCCTCTCGAGTGGAGGAGCAAGTACCCGACGACAATGCGATAGTGGCTGGCCGACGGGTGATCCGAAGATAGCTGCGCATACAACGTGGCGAAGTCAGGATCAGACTCATAGCCCCGAATGAAATGTCGTTGGAGTTCCTCATCGAATGTGAAGGCATGATGTGTCATAGCGCAAAGATCAGGTCTTCGCGAGAGTGCATCTGCTACGCGATTGGAGAGGCCGGGGAGATGTTTCGGTGTGAAGTCAAATTGGTCGATGAAGTACATCCATCGTTCGATCGTGCTGCTCACCGTATCTAGCGTCTTGTAGTAGGTCAATGGGTTGTTGCTCGTGACCCATGTGAACCTATGACGCCCAAGGAGGAAGTGCCGCCATTGCTTAAGAGCCATCACGAACGCGAGCAGCTCCTTCCTTGCATCATCAAGTGAATTGATGGGACGCACTTTGCGGCTGAAATACTCCACAGGGTGTCAGTCATCGCCGTCGTGTTGTTCCAAGACTGCCCAAATGCCATAGCCGGAAGCGTCGGTTGTCACTCTCGTTGGCAGGGTGGGGTCATAGATGCTAAGGACGGGTGCCATGAGCATGGCCGTCTTGAGTGCTTGCAATGACCGGCGTGCGTCATCATCGAACATGAATGGCACCTTTGGCGATTGTAATCTCGTCATAGGTGCAGCAATCCTTGAGTACCCGATGATGAATCGCTGATAGTAGCCCGCCAACCCCATGAATGAATGAACGTCCGTGGTGTTGGTGGGCTCGGGCCATACGCGGAGGGCCTTGATCTTGTCCGCAAGTGGACGGATGCCTTGCGGCGTCACATAATGTCCCAAGTACTCCAGCTCCTACCGCGCGAATTCGCATTTGTCGCGGTTGGCTTTGTACTTGGCTTGTCGTAGCCGCTCCAAAACGGTGCGCAGGTGTTCCACATGCTCGTCCAAACTCCGGCTGTACACCTGGATGTCATCGAGGTAGATAAGTACGAATCGATCCACCATGTGTCGGAACTCCGTTGTCATAGCCGCTTGGAAAGTGGTCGGGGCATTCATAAGGCCAAATGGCATAACCAGCCATTCAAAATGCCCATATCGCGTCTTAAACGCGGTCTTGTAGCGGTCCTCCTGCCGAATCTCGAGTTGGTGATATCCCGACTTGAGGTCAAGCTTGGAGAAGAACTTGGCGCCGCCCAGCCGCTCGAGGAGGTCGTCGACGCGTGGAAGAGGGCCGGCGTTTCTGATCGTTTGCGCGTTGAGCTTGCGATAATCGATGCACAACCGCAAATCCTTGTTCTTCTTCCAGACGAAAAGAACGGGAGCTCCGTATGGCGATGAGCTAGGCTGAATCCAGCCTTTCTCCAGAAGGTCGTCGAGTTGTGCCCGTAGCACACTTAACTCTTCCTCGCTCATTGGGTAGATGCAACCACGCAGAGGTACAGCCCCGTCCTCGAGAATGATCTCGTGGCGGATGGGCCGATCCGGTACTACTCCGTGAGGGGCTTCGAACACATCGTCGTAGGCGTTGAGAAGTTCGGTGATGCGTGGGTCCTAAGATGAGTCCGTCGATGAAGCGTCATGGGGCGGGAGGGCATGGAGAAAACACACCCCTATCTCCTCGATGTCGTCTCTGATGATGGAAGCTCGCAAGCTTGCGGCGGACACCACGTGGTAGCTGATCGAAGGGTGAGTACTCCGTTCCGATCACGGACCTGAACGGTGCGGCGGTAGAAGTTCACCAGGTGATCCTCGCTTCGCAGCCATGGCGTGCCCAAGATCATGTCGAATTTGGTGTCCAAAATATCGAAGGACACCGCCTCGCTTGCATGCGGGGCAAAGTACACGGGGACGTCATCTATGCACCGGTCGATTGACTTGTGCGTGTGACCGTTTGCCAACATGACTTGCGTAGGCTGGGACTTCCTCCGGACACGTGGGCCAAGGTCGGCGCGTATCATAAAGTCCTGGCTCATANTGACTTGCGTAGGCTGGGACTTCCTCCGGACACGTGGGCCAAGGTCGGCGCGTATCATAAAGTCCTGGCTCATATAGTTGCGAGATGCTCCGCAATTGATCAAAGCGTTGCAGGTCGCCTCTCCAATCTGAATGCGTACATATAACAATGGTGCGTCGATGACGTCGTACCGTTGTGTCTTGAACTCGCGATCGATCTTTGCAATATAATTGTGAAGGTCGACAACCTCTACTCCGGCGTCCATCAATGGAGTTGGTACTACAGTGTGGAAGTAATCCCGCAGTTGTGCCATGAGCACGTTGCAATGCGGTTTCGGCAATCGACCAGACCAGTGAAGGGGCATCCATTGGAAGTCTGCAAACGTCAACGGGTCGAGCTCTTCAAGTCTTGACCATGTTGTCGAATCCCCGGCGATAGATGGCGGCGAAGCTGCCGAATCGGTTGCCGATGGTGATGAAACTATGCATCCGGTAGATTGTTGCACGTGGAGTGGTTGGTCCAACGGTGGGACCAAGTGGACAGCATAATCCTCGTAAGTGAACCGAGGACTTGCGACATGCGCATCCTCCCCAGAAGTGTAGGAGGCCGCTAGCAAGGCGGTCGAATCTGGCGGAGTGAGAGGTGGAGTCGCCTCACCTCCTGCGCAACTCAGTTTCTCGAGTTGATACGAGGCCGAACATCCTCCTTGCCTTGATCAGGGCATTGGGAGGTCTTGTGCTTGGTGGTGTTGCACCAATAGCAGCAGCCATAGCGGCCTCGCCAGTTGTATTCCGCCTCGGTCAAGTGAAACTTGACACATGGTGCTGGCTGTCCGTTTCCGGTCGGCGATGCGATTTTCGCCTTCCCGTTTCCTCGGGACTTGTTGCTTCGCGGTTGGACATCAGCCACCTGATCTCCCTCACGTGATGCTTGGGTGGCTGTCGGGTCTTCCACAATGTTGTCCGATTGGACTGCAACGACATGTTGCGGTCGCGGACCAGTTTTCACCTTCTCCACATAGGTTGGCTGCCATGCTGATTTCTCACGTGCAGCTGCCCTATTGGTCTTGATGATCTCCCTTGCCTTGTCGATGATTTCAGCGAAGGTTGTGTATTGCTCGCGATCACCAAGTGCAAGACTCAAGGCGGCACATGACCGCTTGTAGAACTCTCGGCGCAGATGCGAAAATGGGAACTCGAGGGTCGCCGCGATCTTTTGCCATTCCGTGAGCCAGTCGCGTGTTGCTGTGTTGCCTTGCGTCATAGCGAAGAGGCGGTTGATGGCGAGCGTCGGGGCATCGTCCATGATGAATCGCTTCTTCCATAGCCGTGTTAACTCTTCCCAAGAGATTTTGTCTTTCAGATTTGCGATGTCGACGCCGTGGACGGTTGCCAGGTGGCTCAACCAAATCTGGCATCCGCCCTTTGAGTTGAGGAACAACGCGCCGATGTACGCGTGCTTGGCGACGAACAGAATCCGAAGTTGCATTGTAAAGCCCTCCCACCAGAGGACCGGGTCTTGATGCGCATAATCATCGAACTTCTCGATTTGGAATGTCGGCATCTTGTAATGTTGCGTGGTGTTGCCATCTTTGTTAGGCAGCTGCAGTTGCTAAACCTCGCAAGGTGTCCGGTTGGTTGCTGATGGTGGCTGGTGCAGCTAAGGTACTAATGTCACTGAGCATTGCGACTACGTGGTCAACTCGTTCCTCCAGTTGGCGGGCAGAGAGTGCACTGCTGGACNTGGCTGGTGCAGCTAAGGTACTAATGTCACTGAGCATTGCGACTACGTGGTCAACTCGTTCCTCCAGTTGGCGGGCAGAGAGTGCACTGCTGGACTCGCCAGCCTCCGGTCTTGGTGCAGTTTGCTCCAAGTCCTGTACACGGGAATCAAGTGCCCGTGCTGCATCCTCGTGCTGAGCCTTGTGGTTCCGTACGGCCCGCTGGAGGTTCGCCAACTCGGACTGCAGGTGGTTACAAGTGTAAACCAACCTAGTCACGAGTTTGCCCATGAATTCCTTATGCTGCTCCTCCGGTGTCGCGTCGTCGTGCTCCTCGGATGGTTCAAAGTGCCAAAACTTGAGCTTTTCGATGCTGGTGGCTTCATGCCGCTGTAGCAGATCCTGGGCCTCCTTGCGGCGTGCCTGGGTATCTGCTTCAGCTTCGGCTTGAAGTCGCTGCTTCTCAGTTGTTGCCGCCGCTTCAACCTGTAGGCAGACAGCCTCGGCTGCCAATTGGTGATGTTCCTCAGCCGCGATTAGTGCGAGCTGAGTTTCGAAACGCTGTCGGTACCCGGCAATGGACTCATTTGCCAGTTGGCCTGGCATGCCCAAAACTGAGCCCGTCATGATGGCGGGGCACTGCTGACGTGGCACTATGGCATTGCTGACGTGGCACTGTTGCTGACGTGGCACTGTTGCTGATGTGGCACTACTGACGTGGCACTGCTGATGTGGCACTGTTGCTGGCATGGCACTGTTGACGTGGCACTGCTGACATGGCACTGCTGACGTGGCACTGTACCAACCTGGAAATGCATGCAAAGGGGTGGGTGGGAGGGAAAACGCAGGTAGGTAACCAACCCAACAATACTTTCCTCCCGGCCCTAATCAACAGATAAAAATAAAATAAAAAAAAAAGAGGACTACTTCCTTTTTTCATTTTTTTTTGGATATTTGTCGATCTGTTATGGGTGAGACATGTCAGAAAAGTACTATGAGCGAGATCTAGGCTAGGTTCCGCAAAGTTTCGGTTTTCACAAAAATGCGATCTTGAAAAACAAAATTTGCGAAATAGAGTAGAAATGCGATTTTCATAAAAGAACCAAATCCAGTTTCTGAGAATATGGCAACCTCCTAATATGCCTAACGAAATGCTGGTAGGCTTCGAAAGATTTCGGTTTTCAAAAAAAAAATTGCGAGATAGAATGGAGATTCGATTTTTAGAAAAGAATAAATCCGGTTTCCGAGAATATGACCACTTCTATCGTTATCCTAATATGCCTAGAAAACGAAATGTTAACATCAGAAATTTTCGGCTATGTACGCGAAATATCAGAGAAACGAAATGCTACTATCAGGAATTTCAGATAAAACGAAATGCGATTATCAGAAATTTTCAGATATTTGTTGCGTGAAAACAAAATACCAATATCAGAAATTTTCAGGTAAAACGAAATGCGATTATCAGAAATTTCAGATATTTGTTGCGAGAAAACATTTTCAGAGATTTTACGAAGTCCTACTTGATTTACTAATGAGTAATCAATAGATCAAGCAAGCTGGCTACTTGATTGAGCGGGTCCTCTGAATGAGAGGTCCGCTCCGATACCAAACTGTTGCATACTGTAACGGTGCAGACCAGAACAAGAACCGACCTCTCTCACAAAGTACAAGATAGCGTAGCGGAAGACTTAGATACCAATGATCCGGACAATTATTGCAATGCAGCCCCGAACATACATCATCATCATCAGTCCATGGTGTGAAGGGGTCTGGCGCTCACACAGGAAGAATGCGCCAGCCCCAACCATACACAGACGAAGAAGAGGGGGGTTAGATGAAGAAGAGGGGAAGATGGGAATGTCGTCAACACCAAGTCTTCGGCACAGGCCCAAATAGTCCCTCGTCAAAATGTCTGAATCCCAATGCCGAGTCTGGATCCAATGTCGTCAAGTCTCAAGTCACAACTCTCTCTCTCTGTAGTAGTCCGCTGATACTGAGAAGTCAGGTGGTGAGAGGGGAGGAAGAGATGGACTTAGAAGAGGAAGAAGAAGAACTCTCTCTCTCTCTCTCTCTCTCTCTCTCTCTCTC